ACGCAGGGGCCCCCCGGGCCTTTCGTCCCACCCCCCCTCCCTGCGAGGAACACCAGGAGAGGGCGGGGCCGTGACGTCTCGTGTTCCAAGCTCCCGTTCCGCCGGCCCCTCACAGATTTCACACATCTGAGGAGCAATGTTTTGCTGACCGATCTATGGCTGGAGAAAACATTGGCGCAGGGGTTACGCTCTGCAATTCTCCCGAAGCACCACCATCGCATGGCACGGTGGAACGCTGCTGGGCAGCGCTTCACTCTCCTGTCTCTCAGGCGCGCCACGTCCCGGGTCCGGAACGGGGGGCCGACAGATTCCCAGGGGGGCCCACTCCAGCACGAGTGGGGCCTGGCCCCACGTTAGCTGCGGAGATCTGGCGGGTTCGGCCGTCCAGTGTTGACCTTGTTCCGCCAGTGGCAGAAAACGCACAGTGCCCGTCCTGGTTCGCCTAGGGTCCGCGGACGAGCCGCCCCTCAGGCATGGTCGCTCTGGCTCCATTTAACCCCTGGCCAGAGGGCGCCTGCTGTTGCGCTTTCCACCATGGCGTCCCTGCCGGTCCTGCTGCGGAGGAATCGAACAGGAGATTAGTCTGTGATCCTGGTGGAGTCCGGACAGCCCGCTGGTTCCCCTTCCTGAGGGGCAGCGTTGTGATGGAGCCCTGGGCCTCCCGGCTCGAGCCGGGGGGCTCTATCCCAGGGGGGGGCACCCTGTTTTTCACCGCCCGATAATCGGCCGCAGGCCTCTGGGTTGGAGGCTGAGAGGCGGAACCCTCGTAGACTGGGTCTTCCCCCTGCGGTGGTGGAGACCATACAGGGGCCGAGGGCTCCGTCCACTGGAGGGCCTACGCCACGAGTGAGCTCTTCAAGCGACGTGGTGTGGTTCTCGTTCCTGGATCCCAGGCCGTTGCCTCGCTGTAGGGGTCCTGGGATTCCTACAGAAGCTTTTTGACAAAGGGAAGGGGCTGTCGCCACCTAGACAATGGGCGGTGTTCGCGGCAGCCATTACATCGGTCACGACGGATTCGGGGGTTCACATCCCGTCTCATCGTTGGTTTAAACGTTTTCAGCGGGGCGCGCAGGAGAGCGCACCCGCTCCAGAGAACGCCCCCGGTTTGGGACCTCAGTGTGGTCCGTAGGTCCTGTCGGGTCCGCCTTTGAACCGGCGGCGGAAGGCGAGTCCCGGTTTGTCGCTTTTAGACTGCCCTCTGCTTGCCGGTTGGCGTCTGCTAAGAGGGCGGCGCGACTTGTGTGCGCTCTCCTGTCCATGCGTCTTGCCTGTCCTTGTGGAGAGGGCTACGCATGGGTGGTATGTGGCCCAATCCGCCCTATCTCCCCCAAGGTCATCACGTCGGCCCTTAGGGGCGAGTCCATCATATGAGGGCTTTCTATCCGCCACCGCATGCCTCCCCCCCGAGTAGGAGCGGCGCCCTTCTGTGTCCTGTCAGACTGCTGAGCATTACTTGGCCATGACGTCCGCATTCAGGTTTGTGTTCTGGCCCCAATGAACAGGGCCCCCGCTGTCGGCTCAGCGGCTGCTCACTGGGGTTGACCCACTGCTGTGCGCGGCGTATCACACCGGCAGGGTCTGCCCCCCCCGGTGGGCTTCAGGTCGCATTCCACACGTGGGGTGGCGGCCCTACGGCCCTCCTCAGTGTGCCGTGCGGTCAGAACCGTCTGCCGTGCGGCTTCTTGGGGCGTCTCCCTCTTTCTTCGTCCCTGTCTAGCTTTTGGAATGTGTCGGAACCGGTCGGTGCCCATTCCGTGCTGAGTGCAGAGGACGGAGTTAAACCGTTACGTCCCCTCCTGTAGGGAGGCCTTCGGTTGACTTTCCGCCCTGGTTCAGGAGCTCTTGGGAGAGCATCCTACAGAGTCGGTACTTGGTTTGTTGTTTGGACCGTCAGAGGTAGTTCCCACGTCGGTGTCCCACTATCGAGACCAAGGGACGTAGCACCAGACGTAAATTAATAGTTACCTATAGTAACTTAAGTTCTACAATAGGTGCGATAGTCCCCTTAGCCTACGAGCCCATCAGCCAGCCCTGCTTGGCTGAGTTCAAGAGGGGGTGCGGCTGTGTGCAGGGGCGGGCCTTTATAGATGTGGGAGGCTGGTTATTGGAGCAAATTATTTTGATCTCTCTGGCGAGTGACCTGGTCACGAGCGATACTCCACTACGAAGTCTAAGGGACACGCACCCTATTCGTAGAACTTAGTTACATAGGTAACTGATTAAATCGTCTTGCATTTGCTAAAATGACTCCATTAACAAAGGGTGGTACCATCTATTGATCTTTGCCTGTCTCTTCACGACAAAATCTGATACAGTGACCGCATTATCCACACATGCTGCAACAAATCCGTCTGATATCTCACGTCATGCTCCATCCTGCCCTCCTGAGACAAGACCTAAGAGACTGTGACTCCTCCACTGAGGAAGACACCTCAGAATCAGAATCAACACGTAACCAACACGCAACCGACACGTAACAGTCCCCACTCTTTTTTTACACACACAAAGAATTATTGAATTCACATTCTGATACAGCTTTTTGGCAGCTGAATCAACTACGTCAGTGGTTCTCAAACTTTTTGGCACCAGTACCACCTCAGAAAATACTTCTCCTCGTCCAAGTACCACCACCAAAAAAAGACCAACACTATACAGTTGCGTTATTAAGCCTAAGTAATTCATCAAGAACAAGGCCGAGTTTCATTTCCTATAGAAAGTAATATTTAATAATTGTGAGCCATTAAACTTTTTACCATTTTCATACCATTACAAACTGTGCTTAAATATAGGAGAAATAGAAAAAACTAAAAACTTGTTACTTCAATAATGATTCAATTTAAATTTTCAATTCATTACAAACGGGTAAAGCCTTGACTCACCCACGGGTGAATTCTATCCATCGAGTGGGGGATGGCCTTCTTTGTCCCACCAGAGGGTTGGTCACGGGGGCACTTTTGTTTTATTAAGGGCTTGTCAGCTGGCCTCTTACAGGTTCAATCTGCCATTTACTTCACACAAAGAGATGTTGGTTCATATGGTTTGCGATCAATGATCTTTTGTTTGTTCTCTGAGTCCCTTTGCCCGCACAGAACTGGGAAAAATAACTTTTGTATATTGTTACGACCCTCGCTCTAGGCCGAAACATAAACAGAAGGGGAAGAGACAACGGCCATTGTTCAGACCCTCGTAGGGGCATTTATGCCATACTAATATCAGAATCAGAATCCTTTTTTTGCCACGTAAGTAACAGGAATCACAGACTTGGGGAAATTGCTTCGGCTCAGTGGCAACAGTTCAGAGAGAAAATAATAAAAAATAAAATAAAGAATAAAAAACACTTCTTAAGGAAACATATAAATTTATGAATAGAGTTAAAGAACGTTTACCTATGTACTATAGACACGTGCACAACTATGGTGCTCACAATGTAAGGTGACAGCAGTACAGTGAATAAAGTGACGTATGATGGCATAAAGTGACTTTTTATAAAGGGCGGGGGACAGGTAAAGAAGTGTTCAAGAGTCCAACAGCAAAGTGGAGAAACTGTATCTTGAGACGGACGGTTCTATCCTGAAGGGACCTGCAGTCTCCTGCCTAAGGGGATGTTGGAAGTAGAGTCCATGTGCAAGAGGGTGAGAGGGTCGGCTGTGATACGACCAGCCCGGCCTCGAGCTCGTGCGAACGTACAGGTCCGTGCTGCGAGGAAGGCTTGCGGCAATCAATTCCTCTGCTGACGCACAATGCCTGTAGTCCTGTTTGTCCCTGACAGTGAGCTCCCAGCGAACCACACGGTGACGGAGGAGGTGAGGAAGGACTCATGATGGGGCCGTGTAGAACTGGCACGAACCAACATCTAGTGCAGGCAGTTGGGCTTTCTGAGCTGTCTGCAGGAAGACATTCCTCTGCTGGGCCTTCTGATGAGGGAGCTGATGGTCACTCCCACTGTTGAGGTCCTGGGTGATGGTGGGCCCAGGAAACGAAGGGAAGAGTCCATCACGAAGTGGGGGCGGGGGACAGTGCTTCTTCTGAAGTCCAAACACTCCGACTGTCTTCCTGGGCGTTCAGCCATTGTTACCAACTTGCACGCAGACACCAGCCGGTCCCCCTCCCTCCTGTAGGCGACTACAATCGGGTTCTTGGAGAGAGTCCAATGAGGGAGGTGACATCCGCGAACTTTAGCAGCTACACAAGAGTCGTGCTGGCGGTAGCCGTGTTTGGTGTTAACAGGGAAAAGAGCAGGGGAGAAAGACACCGCCTGTGGGGCTCCTGGATTTATACTCCGAGAGTCCGAGACATTCTTCCCCACGAACGCACTCGCTGCTTCCTGTCCTGACAGGAAGTCAGTGATCCACCTGCAGGTGGAAACGGCACGTGAGCTGGGAGAGCTTGTCCCTGAGCAGGATGGCAGGATCGTGTTGGAAGGCAGAGGCTTAAGGTCCACGAACATACCCTGGCCGGTAGGTCCCCGGGGAGTCCAAAGTGCTGTAGGATGGTTGGTGGAGGGCCAAGGTTGATGGCTTTCTACAATCTGTTGGCTCGGTAGGCGACTGCAGGGGGTCCAGGAGGGGGGGATGTGAGGGACTTGAGATGGGAGAGGACCAGGCGTTCAAATGACTTCATGACGACAGACGTAAGTGCCTACAGGCGTAGGCATTGAGTCCTGTGATCCTGGGCTTCTTCGGGACGGGGGCAATGATGGAGGCATTGAAAGCAGGCCCGGGACAAGGCAGGACGGCAGAGAGAGTTGAAATGAATGAACACAAGGATTAGCTCACTCGCAAGCATGTCCCAGAGTGGGCTAGACACTGGTCCGGGCCCTGAGCTATGGCGGGGTGGCAGCCTCAGACGCGTTGTTCAATAACTGCCTGGTGCGGGGACTTGGCTGCTTTCAGTTCGTCCCTGAACTGATAATTACTCTGCATTGTAGCCGCTGCGGTCCCCCCTCCTGAAAGGCCGACAAGACTGGGCAAGTTCCACCACCTTACAGGTCACCTTACCGTCTAGACGCCCAGGACATAGCTCTCCACGTGCTGTCCCGGTTGGCTTAGCACGTGGGTGGTGAGGATCCTTCCTCTGCCAGGGTAGATTCCTGCAGGCTGGACACGCCCCCTGCCTAAGTGATAGGCAGAGGAGAAGGGAGAAACGCCCTAGCCGCAATGATCGCGCATACGATGTAACTGAACTTGAAAACTGACATTGAAAATGTTCCAAAAAGTAGACATGACACAACTGTGTCCACGTCCCTGCGCTTCGGCATCTAAGAGGCAAATAAGTTTTGTTCAGATGTTTTTTCAAAGGAACGTAACCGTAATTATTGTTTGCTTGTAATTTTGTGGTATATATAGGACATACAAGCCTCACTTGATCACCAGGCGGAAAGGATGAGCTCAGGACAACGGCCAAATGGCGACGCAATATTGGCTTTGGTTTACACCCATTTCCCCCTGCATAAAACGTTGCATAAACCGTTACCGAGATCCAACGATTTTTCAGGCGGTTCAGACTCTTAAACTCCAGCACCACTACATTGCATGGGACAACCCCTGGTACTTTCAAGAGACCTCCTCCCAGCCAACACAACCAAGGCAGACCTCCTCCCAGCCCTTACCTATCTCTATAACAGTAAGTATAAGAAACGGTCACTCATCCGCTTGGGAGTGCGGTCAACGAAGTTATTTCACGACCTAAGAAAACAAATGAAGTTCAGTTTGTGTCCCCGTCCCAACTGAAACCACTTCCGGTCTCCCAAAACCAGAGATGAACTGTGACATTCTGCAACCACCGAGTTAGCTGTAACAAAGCAATAGGTACACAACAGGATACACTTGCTTGACAACAGTCAGTAATCTGTAATTTGTATGTGACTTTAAATTAGGACCGCCCTTAAAAAGAGTCCCTTAATCTCAATGGACTACCTGGATTAAATAAAGTAAAAAAATAATAATATATATAATAGTAAGATATAATAATAAATATATATTAGGGCTGTCCAAATTATCGCGTTAATTCACGTTAATTACCGGGTTTTCATTAACCGCGTAACTAAATAATTAACTGCATAACTGCCATTGACGGGTCCACTCTTGTTGGTTTGTACCCAAACGTATACAGGTTGTGAGCAAGTCAAACAGACTTCAAGCAGAGGCTCGGGAAGACCTGCGTCACAGAAAACTAGGGAACTCAGACCAATGGAGAGATCCAGAGGAACAAAATTCAAAATGTAGTACAACGGAAAACCATAATGAGGCCGCCACACAGACGTTTATTTGGCTCCAGAAGTGAGATTTTAACTAATTGGAGTAAAATGTCAATTATATGCCAGGACATGTAGGAGCTCTAATAGGAAACATATTTTAGCAGTGTATAAGTAAAAAAACAGTTGAATGGGTGTTTAGTTACCTCTTTAAGTACTTTTTGGGGGGTATGAATACAAATGTTCATTACATTGAAAATCACATTTAACTTCAATTGGAGTGGATTTGGAAAATAGAATGATAAAAATGCGATTATCGTGAGTTAACACAACCATGTACTGTGTTCTATTAATCAACAAAAAAAATTAATCGTTGACAGCCCTAAATATATAATAGTATATATATATATATTATATATATATATATATCCTATATATTAATTTTTTTCATTTTTGGCATAGCCACTAAGGGAGCCCCCGCGTACCAGTGATTTACGCGTACCGACACTTTGATGAATCACTGAACTAACGTCAATACAGGACAGACAGACTTGACATATACAGTACAGACCGTTAAGATTTGGATGCTATTGTCATTCAATGAGTTCGTAGATCTTCACTCTCAGCCTGTGTAAGGGCTAGTTGGACCAAGAGCCCGCCACAGTCACCAGACTGTGGAGGCCAACCAGAATGGTTTTGTTGATAGTTGGACCACAGAGTGAAGTGAAAGGGCCAACAAATCTAAGCATCTCAGAGATCTTCCTTACAAGACTGTTGAAGACCTTTCAATCACTACCTTCTTGAAGCTCATCATGAGAAGCCAAGAGTGTGCGAAGGCAGTATTCAAAGCAAACGTGCTACTTTGCAGACCATAGAATATAAGACATCGCTTCCAGTTTGTTTTCAACTTTTTTACTAAGTACATACATAATTCCCACCAAGAGTTAATTCAAGTGTTGATCCTGTCAGTTTGATCTACAATTATCATCCATAGTGAAAATAATGAAAATAGAAAATAAAAACAAAAATCACATTTGAATGAGAAGGGTTGTGTCAACACTTTTTTTCTACCAGTTGTCAAAATTGGCTTTCATTATTACTTCTCCACACCTGTCAAAAAATGGACAGAGGAGAACGTCCTATGATACACTTCTAGAACTACCCACCATTATCACAGCTACTACAAAAGTCTTAAGCATATAGCTTAACAACCCTACATTGTAAAAAAAAACATAAAATGTTTTAATTTTTTTATATTTTTTTTTTGTTCATTTTTTAGTGTGTGTATGGAGGTAACACGCTGTATTGCAATCTCTTCAAAAGTTTAAATTGTCCAACAACATTGAGTAAACATTGTACCTAAATAAGTTTGTGATACCACCGTCCCTATTGCCTAACAACCACAACACAGACAACAAGCAGCAAATCGAAGCACAAATCATTTTCACATTTATTTTGAGAAAGTAAAATTATAATTCTTTTTAATCTCTTTATGATATTCCTATCAATAATACTTTTCGCCCAGTTACCAGAACGGAGGTGCCAAGTTTCCCAGATGCCAACTCACCTCCACCTGAAAGCATCACTTACTCTACTTCCCTCACAACAAGGCCCTCCCCCCAGCACTGTGCTCCCAAAGCTGGCAACACCAAAGGAGAACCCCAACCACAGCACCCCAGCATCAGCAGCAAGCACCAAGTCCACATGGACTTTATGAACGTCCCGGACCAGGGCATGGCAGGTGAGCACTGAGTCACAGAGCAACTCAGACCGGGCACTGTCCCGCAAGTGAAGCAGACTGACACATGATGTTGTTTATGTCGACTGGACTAAGTAACATCTGAGTGGGAATATGACTCAAGAGTTACTGCTGATTTTGGTATTCTAAGTCTAACAAGAATCCCGAATAAAATTGATCCTAATAAATTACTAAAACTAGAAATATCCCTAAGACGTTGAAACCACAAAAATATTAAATAAATCCCATAGTTAATTGTTTCTCTCTCTCAAACTCTTTACTTCCATTGATAGTTTCACATGGTAAGTAGTTGGCCTCTGCACACCTTTAAACTTAGACTTATTTCAGCAGAAAAAAGAGAGTACTCCTCTCAGCAATCCAGCTCTCATAGTAAAAGAACAGCCATTGTTTGCTATAGATGAAGACAGCATTTGTGTCTGATTTGTTCACAAAATGTTACTTAACACAAGAATGATTGACCGATTAATAAAGGTTTTGGGGCAAAAGAAGAAATATAGACAACACAATAAATATGTTGCCTTTATGTTTTGTGTGGGCAGAAAGCAGAGGAAGCGCAGCATCAGCCAAGCCTCCTCCAGCCCCCAAACCCCAGCCTCGCCCAGCTGTGGCACCCGCGCTGCAAGAGCTCTGTACCAGTACATTGGTCAGGACACCGATGAATCAGCTTCGAATTCAATGGACTCCTTTGAACTGCTCAATAGAAGGTATTAAGGGTTTGACTACTGGATATGAATCCATTTTCATTAAAGGGGTTCTCACCCCGCCCCGCTCCTCGGAGCTACTGCACGCACATTCCTGTTCATATCGTCCACTAATGGCGTAGCCTGGAGGATTAAAGGGGCGTAGAACGAGACTGGGCCGTATTACATTGCTCTGTGGCGGGCGGCTGACGTCGGTCCGACTCTGTGCCAGTGTCTAGGCGCCAATTCAAATTCAACTGTAGTAATAACAGGTCGCCAGCAGATTGCGCCTCACAGAACAGAACGGTTTAGGCAAAAGTCTGACTATCATCTCTCAACAACAAGCAAAAAGGAAACAGAACAAAGAGCGAACATAATGCGAAACAACAAAATAGTTGAAAAAGAAAAAGAAAGAGAACAAGAACAAGCCAACTACTCAGGAGAAGGAAGGAGGAAAAGAAGAGATAGTCAGACTTTCGCCTAAAACCGTCTGGGTGGCGCCTCCTGCTGCGACCTGTATTACTACATTAGAATTTTGAATCTGGCGCCACACTGGCACATGAAGTTGGACGACGTCACCGCCCCCGCCCAAGCAATGTAAACGGCCCAGTCTCGTTCACGGCCCCTTTAGTCCTCAGGCTACCCATTTAGAGAAGATTTGAACAGGAAATGTGAGTGACGTAAGCGGCCGGAGCGGGTGAGAACCACTTTAATGAAACATGATTTCCATCCATGTAGTCAAACCTTACGTACCTACTTTGAGCAGTTTCAAAGACGACCATTGACTTCGAAAGCTGATCTCATCGGTGTCCTACCAAATGTACTGGTAACAGAGCTCTGGCAGCGCGGTGCCACAGGGGAGGCTGGGGTTGGGGGCTGGGAGAGGCCTCTGGCTGATGCTGCGCTTCCACTGCTTTCTGCCACACAAAACATAAAAGGCAACATATTTAATTGTGTTGTCCTTATTTCTTCTTTTGCCCAAAACCTTTAATAATAGGTCCAATCATGTCTTGTTTAAGTAACATTTTGTGAATAAAAAAAAATCAATCAGAAACACAAACATGCCTTGTCTTCATCTATCGAAAACCTGCTGTCTGTTACATACTGAGAGCTGATTGGCTAGAGAGTACTCTCTTTTTTCACTGAAAAAGCTAAGTTTAAAGGTGTGAACGAGGCCCAAAAATACTTACATTGAAAACTATCAATTGAAGTAAAGAGTTTTAGAGAGATAAACAATAACTATTGATTTATTAAATTTTTTTTGTATGGTTCCACAGTTAGGATATCTTTAGTTTTTATTATTTCATTAGGATCATTTTATTTGGGATTCTTGTTAGACCTTTAGAATACAAAACATCCAACGTAAACTCCTTGAGTCATTCCCCATCAATGTTACTAGTCCATCGACATAACCACAATCAAGTGTCAGTCTGCTTCACTTTGGGACATGTCCCCGTCTGTGCTCTGTGACTCAGTGCTCACCCTGAATGCCCTGGTCCGGGACGTTCAATAAAGTCCATGTTGCTGTGGCTGCTGCCTGATGCTGGGTGTGGTTGGGCGTTCTCCTTTGGGTGCCCAGCTTTTGGGAGCACAGTGCTGGGGGATGGCCTTGTCTGTGAGGGGTAGAAGTAAGTGATGCTTCTGGCTGAGTGTGAGTGGCACTGGAAACTTGGCATCCCCGCCCCTCCATCTCCTCCGTTCTGGTAACCGGGGAAAATTATTTACAAAAGAAATTAATAAAGAGATTAAAACAAGAAGTTTACTAATTTACTTCTCAAATAAAGTGAAATATTTGTAGCTTGGATTGCAGCTATGTGGTCTGTGATTGTGTTTGTTCGGAATAGGGACGGTGTCTCACAACACTTTATTTAGAGTACAATGTTTAATCAATGTGTGGACTAATTAAACTTTTGAAGAGGATTGCAATACGATATGGTACATACATACACCCACTAACAAATGAAAAAAAAATATTACAAAAATACAAACATTTTAAGTTTTTTTACCAGTATGTATAGAGCTATAGCTTAAAGACTTTTGTAGTAAGCTGTGATAATGGTGGGGTAGTTCTAGAAGTGTATTACATATTACGTTCTCCTCTTCCATCTGAAAGGTGAGAAGTAATAATGAAAGCCCATTTGACAACTGTAAATAAAAAAAGTTTGGACACACCTTCTCATTCAAAATTTGTTTTTATTTCAATATTTTCATTATGTACACTATGAAATTTTAGATACACACTAAGGGCATCAACACTATGAAGTAACTCATGGATTTATGTATGTACCTAAAGTAAAAAAAGTATGAAACAACTGAAAAAGTCTTAATCGAAGTTCTTCAAAGTAGCACCTTTGCTCTAGAGTACTGCTTTTCGCACACGCTTGGCATTCTCTTGATGACTTCATGAGGTAGTGATTGAAAAGGACTGCCAACAGTCTTGAAGGAGATCCCTGAAGGCTGAGCAATTGGGTGGCCCTTTCACCTTCACTCTGTGTCCAACTCAGCACAAAACCATCTGGATGGCCTCCACAGTCTGGTGACTAGTGGAGCCTGGTCAACTAGCCCTTACACAGGCGCAGGGAATCTACCACTCATAGAATGACAAAGCATCCCAACTTTGGTCAGTACTGTATATGTCAGTCTGGTCTGTCTGTATGAACGTAGTTCAGGGATTCTCAAAGTGTGTACGCGTAAATCACTGGTACGCGGGCTCCCTCTAGTGGTATGCCAAAATGATAAAAAAAATATATATGAATATATTATATATATTATATAAATATCTATATAGTAATATATATTAGGGCTGTCAAACGAATGAATTATATTTTAGTTGATTACGTCGCATAGAAATGGTGAGTTAACTTCACGATTAATCGCATTTTTAACATTCTTATTTCAATCACTCCAATTGAAGTTAAATGAGATTTTCAAATGTAAAGACAATTATTATTCATACCAAATGTACTTAAAGAGTAACTAAACACCAATATCAACTTTTTTTTACTTATACACTGCTAAATAGGTTCCTATAGTGGCTCTACATGTCCTGGCCATATATTTGACATATTAATCCAAATTAGTTAGAAATCAGCACTTTGACCTAAACCGTCTGTGTGGCGCCCTCTCTATGTTTTTCCGTGTCACTACATTGGAATTTTGTTCCTGACTCTCCATTGCTCTTTGAGTTCCCTAGTTTTCTGTGACGCAGTCTATCCCGAGCCTCTGCTATAAGTCTGTTTGACTTGCTCACAACCTTCTACATTTGGGTACAACCAACAAGAGTTTGACACGTCATGGCAGTAATGCGTTAATTAATTTTTTTTACGCGTTAACTGAAAACGGTAATTAACGTGAATGAACTCGATAATTTGGACAGCCCTAATATATTTATATATATATATATATATATAAAATTAAATTACATTATTATTTTTTTATTACTGTTATTTAACCAGGAAAGTCCCATTGAGATTAAGGACCTTTTTTCAAGGGAGTCCTAAATAAAATCACATACAATTACTGATTACTGACTGTTGTCAAAGCAGTGCTATCCTGTTGTGTATCCTTTGCTTTCTGGTTACAGCTAACTCGTGACAGAATTGGTCACAGTTCATCTCTGGTTTTGGAGACCGGAAGTGGTTCATTGGGGGAGGGGAACACACTAGAAACTCTCATATGTTTTCTAGGTCGGAAATAACTTAGTTGAAAGCACTCCCAAGCGGAGTTACCGATCTCTAAACTTACTGTATAGAGATAGTAAGGTCGGGAGGAGGGTCTGCCTTGGTTGATGTTGGCTGCGAGGGAGGTCACTTGAGTACCAGGTTGTCCAAGCAAGCTAGTGGCTGCTGAGTTAAAGAGTCTGACCGCCTGAAAAAATCGTTGGATCACGGTAACGGGTTAGGGCAACGTCTTTAATCGGTGGCAACTGGTGTAAACCAAAGCCAAAATTGAGTCGCGCATTTGGCAGGTTGTCCTGAGTCCACTCCTTTCCGCCTGGTGATCAAGTGAAGGCTTTTTGTCCTATATAACATCAACATTAAAACAAAATATTACGGTTACGGTTCGTGAAATAACATCTGAGACAAACTATTTGATCTTGATGCCGAAGCGAACAGGGAAGAGACACAGTTGTCGTCATGTCCAACGGGTTGGGACATTTTCAATGTCAGTTTCAAGTTCATAAATCGTATGCGCAATCAGCGGTAGGCGTTCTTTCCCTTCTTCTCTTGCCTCTCACTTAGCGGTGGCGTGTCCAGCATGCAGGAATAACACTGCAGAGAATGATCCTCACCAACCCCACCGAAGCAAAGCCCACACCGGGACAGCACGTGGCGAGCCTATGTCCCTGTCCCGTATAGACGGCTAAGGATGGCCCGTAAGGGTGGATTGATGCCATGTCTTGTCGGCTTTTCAGGGAGGGGGACGCAGCGGCTACAAAGCACTAAATAACATTCAGGGACGAACTGAAAGCAGCCAAGTCCCGCGACAGAGATATTAACAACTCTTATCTTGAGGCTGCACCCCCCCAAAGCTCAGCCCGGACCAAGTGTCTCCACCACTCTGAGACACAGCGCGAGTGACGTAACTCCTGTGTTCACTGACATTTTCAACTCCCTCTCTGCAGTCCTGCCATGTCCCGGCCTGCTTCAAATCCTCCATCAATGCCCCCCCGTCCCGAAGAGCCCAGGATCACAGGACTCAATGACTACAGACCTGTAGCACTTACGTCTGTCCGGCATGAAGTCAATTTGAACGCCTGTCCCTCTCCCATCTCAAGTCCCTCACCTCCCCCCTCCTGGACCCCTGCAGTTTCGCCTACAGAGTCCAACAGATCTGTAGACCAACGCCATCAACCTGGCCCTCCACCACATCCTACAGCAGCTTGGACTCCCCGGGACCTACGCCAGGGTCCTGTTCGTGGACTTAAGCTCTGCCTTCAACACGATCCTGCCACCCTGCTCCAGGACAAGCTCTCCCAGCTCAACTTGCCCGTTCCACCTGCAAGTGGATCACTGACTTCCAGACAGACAGGAAAAGCAGCGAGTGCGTCTGGGGAAGAATGTCTCGGACTCTCGGATATATAAATACAGGAGCCCCACAGGCTTGTTCTTTCTCCCCTGCTCTTTTCCCGTACTACTCAACCACTGCACCTCCAGCCACGTCTCTGTGAAGCTGCTCAAGTTCGCGGATGACACCTCCCTCATTGGACTCATCTCAAAGAACGATGAGTCCGCCTACAGGAGGAGGTGGACCGGCTGGTGTCCTGGGTGGCAGTGGTAACAACCTGGAGCTGAACGCCCGGAGAACAGTGTGATGATTGTGAATTCAGGAAGAGCACTGTCCCCCCCGCCCCCACCTGTCCGTGATGGATCATCCCCTTGGACCGTTTCCTGGCACCACCATCACCCAGGACCTCAAGTGGGAGCTGACCATCAGCTCCCTCATCAAGAAGGCCCACAGAGATGTACATCCTGCTAGCAGCTCAGGAATGCCAAGCGCCTGCCAGATTTGGTGCAGTTCTCACAAGCAGGCCCAACATCGATTCCATCCCCACCTCCTCCGTCACCGTGTTGGTTCGCTGAAGCCACTTCAGTGGACCACACAGAGACTACAGCGCATTGTGCGCTCTGCAGAGGAAGTGATTGGTACGCAGCCTTCCATCGCAGGCAGGACCTGTACGGTCGCCCGAGCTCGAGGCAGGCTGTCCGTATCACAGCCGCCCCCCTCCACCCTGCACTTGGACTATTCCAACCACATCCCCTTAGTAGGAGACTGCGGTCCACAGCGACTAGAACCTCCCGTCACAAGAACAGTTTCTTCCCCTCGTGCTGTTGGACTCTGAACACCGTCTAAACCTGTCCCCAACCGCCCCTTTATAAAGTCACTTTAAACTGCCCATCATACCTCACTTTACTTCACGTACTGCTGTCACCTTACATGGTGTGCACCATGGTGCACTTGTATATTGTAAATATGAAAACGTTAACTCTATTCTAAATTTAAATGTATGTTCCTTTAAAGTGTTTTTATCTTATTTTATTTTTTATATTATTACTCTCGACTGGTGCACTGGCCGATGGCAATTTCCAAGTCTGTGACGTCCGTGTTACTTACTGCATTAAAAAGGAAACTGATTCTGATATTCGTATGCATAAATGCCCCTACGAGGGTTCGGAACATTGGCCGATGTCTCTTCCCCTTCTTTTATCGTTACGGCTAGAGCCGGGTCGTAACAATATAAAAAGTTATTTCTTCCAGTTCCTGTGCGGGCAAAAGGAACAGAGAACAACAAAAGATCATGGTGATCGGCAAACCTATAACCTACAACGCTTTGGTGAGTAACTGGCAGATGTACTGTAAGGAGGCCAGCAGACCAAGCCTAATAACAAAAGTGGCACCCGGTCCAAACCCCTGGGGTACAAAGAAGGCCATCCCCACTCGAGGATATAATTCACAGTGGTGAGTCAAGGCTTTACATTGTATTGAATTGAAAATTTAAATTGAATCATTATTTAAGGATAAAACCAGTTTTTAGTTTTTCTTTCTCCTAAATATTTAAGCACATTGTAACTGTTGAAAAATGATAAAAGTTTACAATGGCTCACATATAAATATACTTCTTTAGGAAGGAAAACTCTGCCTGTTCTTGAAGAATTACTTAGGCCATACTACCAAC